GCACAGCGGAAAGGCATACGGGATCCCGGCCCAAGCGCCCAACGCACGGACAAGTCGTCGCCCCAAAGCCCTCCTATTTTTGAGGTAAGACCAGGCGACGGGCAAGGGACGTCGCCCAGGAGACGTGTCGGAGAACAACCCCACACAGGGTGTCACCTGCACGCGGCAAAGGCTGTTTTCCGAATGAAGGGAGGGAGGAAAACAGAGGGAGGGGGGAAGAAAAGAGCTGGATTAATGCCGGCCGGTCATTTCCACCACGCGAGGTCCCCCTGACTTGGTGGGTCTCGTGGAAGAGGTCTCGCCACGGAGCATCAGGGGTAAGAAGAGCTCGGCACGGGCTTGCAAGGGAATTTCCTCCCCAAGAAAGGAGGTTTTGAAGGAGTAAGTTGACTGCTGGGATCTTTTTCTTGTTGCCCAAAGGAGAGGAGGGCACCAAACGGTGCTTACAGCCCTGGAGGAGAAGCCGGGACTTGCAAAGGTGAAGGAAGGCAGAGAGGAGGACACCTAGAGAGGGTGAGATCTTCCGCCCAGGGGCACCCAGCAGCAGCGTGCGTGAGCAGAGACGCGGGATACGCAGGGCTGAAGTTGTTCTGTGGACAGTAACAAAATTTGGCAAAGAGGGAAGGGCAGGCAGCAGCAGAACAAGAGTCCGGCTTGACGCCCAGATCGACGCGAAGACCGCAAACCAACGGCCGTCGCCGTCACGACACGGTGATGGCCAAGAGAAGGCAGCTCCGGCTCTGCCATCGGCACGAGGATGGTTCAAACCACGCTGGCCCATCGGATGGCACGCCCAGACCTGCCCGGCTTTGTGAGGTCCACAGAGAGGTGTCCTTAGCTTAGATGCTCTGCCTTCCAGCTTGGAGGAGACCCGTGAAGATCAGGGAGGACAGGGGAGAGCAGGGAGAACCCGGCAGGGGGAAGGCACCGTGGTGGGATAACAAGGCAGAAGATTTTAAGGCGCAGATGAGCAATGTGAAGCGTCTAAGAGCCCATCCTCATTCCAGCTGCTTCGTGCTGGCTCCAACCAGGAAGGGCAACGGCCAAGGAGATGGTTTTGAAGGACCAAAACTGCTGAGGACCAATTATTTGGAACGAACTAGGAAGGTCTTACGCAACACTCCTGAGAGGAAGAAGGGAAAAAAAAAAGGTCAAAGCACGCGAGGGGGAGGCAAGGGGGACGCAGAGAAAAGCGCTGTGAGAAATGAGAAGCAACTGAATAGGAAACGAAAACGCTCGGGCAAGCGGTGGAAGGGTGGAGGTGGTCAGGGAAGGAAAAGGCTGGAGAGAAGGCTGAGGCCGTGACCGTGTCTCGTTGACTTCGAGGATGGCAGAAAACCCTTCGTGAGGTCCTTTTGCTCCTTAAGAAGATGCCAAGCACAAAGCTGGGAGGAGGGGTGGATGCACCGGCAGGCTGAGCTGGATCCAGTGAGCCCTGGACAGGCTGGAGAGCTGGGCAGAGAGGAACCTGATGAGGTTCAACCAGGGCAAGGGCAGGGTCCTGCCCCTGGGGAGGAACAACCCCAGGCACCAG